TTGCAGTTGGAAGCCCCAAAAAAGCGGAAGCGTTTCCAGTGCCAACTATTGGTTTTTTGGTTTTTGCTGGTACTTCCAGGATTTTGCGGTGTACCTTTTTGTGACACTCCCCCTTCCGGCAGGCACTTTCAAATGAGCAACAGAAAAAAAGGAGATTTTTGTGTGTTTCATAAGACTAAAGGTTACCCATTAATCAACCTGTTAAACATAATTTTCTATACAAAAAAGTACGTTTTTATAAGGAAAAGGTTGACAACTTATATCCTTTATTTCTTCTTTTTAAAACTAATAAATAAAATATTCCTGTATACCCTTTTCACAAGAGGTACTCTGCACACACACACACTCTGCTGCTGGCTGACCAGCACGAATGGCGCGAAATTCGTGGATTAAATGGAGTGGACTTCCGGTTGGTGAAAGCTGCGGCTGCAGCATCGAGTGTGCCAACGGCTCCTCCATCAACTGCCGAATTTATGCTCACTGGCCAATAATCCATTTTTAGGGCCATCAACCAAAAACCGAAATATTGGCTCATCCTTTGTTTCCGTGCTAATTGTTTGGGACGACTACTTTTCGCCAGCAATTTGCCAGTGAAAATCCCTGGTTGAGGTTTTTCTTCTATTTTTTTTTTGTTCGCTATCAAACAACTCCCCAAAACCCAAACCCAGATACCCCGCCTTATTTTTTTGGGGGAAGGTGGATGGATTTGTGGACGCAGCTGCTGGGTAGGTTTGCAATTATTTTGCAAACAATGAAATTGTTGCTGCGTGTGCAAACATAAAATCGAATTGTGTGTAGGTAGACAGATACAGATGCGAACTCAGATACAGATACAAAGATACTTGCGAGGTGTCGCATCTGCCGGCGAGCATTTGCCTTGATTTGATTTTACCTATTGCGGGGAGAGTCCATGGATATGCAAATTACTTGTCGGCGAGTGGCAGGTGATGGCTCCATAAAAAGCGTAATCAATATGTCTTTCGGGGAAAAAGGGGCAGAGACACCAACAGACAGCAGAAACGTGTGCCATTACGTTCGCATTTACTTGGCTTTTCTGCAGTTGGTTAAATGAATTTAAATATATATGCGCCGGCCGAGGAGTTTTGCTCGCTAACAAAGTGCAAATCGAGCGAAATAAATCACGGCAATGCGACATGGAGCGACAAACTCCGCGATCTGGCTAAATTAATCACATGGCCATACATCAAAACAAACAGATCATGACAAATGCAGAGCGCAAATCGAGCAGGAAGATGGCCGCCCCCCGATCACGCCTCCTTTTCCTTTTTATTTATCCCTTGGAGCACACCTCGTCCATTGTCCGATGTCTAAAGTCATTACTTTTGATACCCTTTCTGGGGTAGAGACTCCTTTAAATTAAATTTAAAATATTTATTTAGCTAGATAATTTTACAGAATTTTTTAAATTATTGTAGACTTAAAACCCTTTTATATAATATTTAATATGTAGATTTTAGATAGTTTTTAATAACTTGCAATATTTCTTTTAAAATAAATACATTGATCCTCTTATTTTCTCTTTATTTTTCTAGAAGAGTATTTCGACTTCGGCTTTCTCTAAAATCTATTCCTGTTTTATTGCCTCTGCTTTAATTAAAATAATTTTTACGTTTGCCTCGGCTACGACTTTTTTCACGTGAAATTCCAACGATGAACAAAGCCAGGGAACGAAGCAGACGACGCCGACATAGCCGCTGTCATGTTCACTTGTCTAGCAATGTGTCCAATGGCCAGGTTTTGCTGCATCCAACACCAGCTCCATTGCTCAGTACCATTCCCATTCCCATTCGCACTCCTATTCCCAGACCCAGACCCATACCCTGTCCCAGTCTCAGACTCCGGCCAATGCCAACGCATAAATTATGCTTCGTTGTCGTCGGCAAAGGCAGGAATAGTGAAATGAAGTGAGGTGTAATTGAAAGAGTGCACAAAGCAAAATTAAATGTAAAGTTAATAAATTTAAGATTAAAAATAAATAACCTTGAATTTATAATAATAAGAATAATAAGACTTTCCCAATTTGTTTTTAAATAATATAAAAGTTAAGAAAGGTTCTCCTTTTATTATTAATTTTAATATTATCTTTATTTTAATATTTACTATAATATATTTCGTTCTGTGTAGAGTCCCCCTAAACTCTGAGGTGACAAAAGGTACCCCAAGCTCTATGAAAATTTCTTGGCAGACGGCAAATGCTTGCACTTTTCTACCAAAAGTCTTGGCTTCTTGGCCACATTGTTCTAGGCCCAATGGAGTTTTAAATGTCCAACGGGGCCACATAAATTTTGGGCTGCGCGATTTAAGATTTTATAAGACATTTGAAGTCAATCTATCGCAGCCCCTTAATGGTCAGCCAGGTGCCAGCCGGCGCAGAGGAGCAAGTGCATCCCAGACATGACCGCAACACAAAACACAACAGAGCACAAAAACAGAATAGAAACTTTTGGCTGACAGCCAGGCAGTTTTCAGTATGCAGACAGGGAAAACTCTTAAAGTGCCGGCCGACGACGACGACGAGTAGGGATCGAGGCGGGAGGGGAAATGTTTTGCATTTCAAATTGCATTTTAATCGCATTTCAACCTGAAATGCCATTAGACATAATTCGTTTAGCTGCATTTGTCATTGGCTCTTCCATGTTCCAGGGGGTGGGTGGAAACCCAAATCATTTCGATATGGCCAAAGCTGGATTGGCTGGATGAGAGAAGGGGCTCCGGGGACTGGCAATTGTTTCGCTCCAGCGGAGGACAATTGGCGTCCGCACACGTAAATCAACTTTGGCATTGATTTCCACTGGCTAACTGACTGTCCCGGGATGATTTCGATTTGCATGCAACTGTTCAGATTATGCAATCACTCCCCTGCACTTCACTCCACTCCGCTCCTTCAAATATCCCTGTCAAATTCGTCCTGCCGTAATTGATTGTGAGTCTGTCGTGGGCGCATCCACTGGCATTTAATCAATTTATGCTTGTTGCCCAACTGCCAATCGATGCTGCCGAGTGAGTCCAACGACGAGTCGATCGATGTAACATACTCGGTGTACTCAAAGCCTTGGCACCTGTCAGCACCTTCGATCAGGCGATACATCTGCACGGTGGGAAAAGATTACAGATTACAATAAGGCGAAGGAGTAAACATGTCTCTCGTTTTTCTTATCTAAACATCAAGAAAATCCTTGGTTGCTTTCTTCAAATTTTTAAAGTGGTATAATAGGCCTTGAAATAATTTAAAAAAAATTAGAATTCAATTAAAAATCAATATCCCTTTTCCCCCAGTGTTCTGTAGGGGGCATTGGCTCTGCTCTGCCTACTGTGACTGTGACTCAGGTATAAATAGATGTCTCACCTTGCCGGTGAAGGTGTTGAAAGGCAGGTCCATCGATTGATCGAGCGATCGGTGGCACATCAAGATTTAAATTTAAATTAGCTTGCAGCTCGAAGTAAAATTTATCGATTTACCCAAACTGACCCTGAGTGAGGCAGAGACATGAATTCCTTTCTCTGCCTTTTTTCCTTCTCTTTTTTTTTTTTTTTGGCTGTGGCAGCTGCTCGAAAAACTCAATTTCCTGCGCGAAGACTCGGGGCCCATCAAATGCTTTACGACGGCAGACCGCAACTTGAAATTTAACACACGTTGCTCTATACACACAACGAACCCAGGGATGGCTGACCGACCCCTTTGGTCTGTCTGGACAGGGCGGACCTGGGCTGGCCTGGGCTGCTACTTTTTCATTTTTCGCATGTAATGTGTGTAATCAAAGTAACAAAATCCAAATCATATTTCCTTCATTGACCACAAAATGTGGGCGGCCAACCCTTTGCCGCATCCCACACAACCCACATCCCTCACATTCATCTTCGATGCGCATATAAAACATTTTACTAGATTTATACAATCAATGCTCTGCGTTCTCAGCCTTCGAACATTTCTTAACCTTGTTAGATACGTTTTCTCCCTTTGACCCCGCCCTCCGGTGTGTGGAAAATTATTGGTCTGCGCATATGTAATCATCTCTGTGAGGAGGCCAGGACACGCCGTAAAGTGCACACAATCAAATCGAAATTCGTTTTTAGGTACAACTCCTTCGGGGTCTTGGTTATAGACGACAGTCTTAGATGCGCTTTGGTTATATTTTTGGTTAAAATAATATAAGGCAGGTCATTGTGAACTCTTTGTGGCCGAATCCTGGTTGTAGATGGGGTCCCGAACAGAACCTTTTCGCATATGTCGGCAATTTTTTATTTATTGACATTTCGCTTTATTAAAAGGTGTTGGGCGGTCAGGCAGAGGAGTTGCTAACCTTAAGGGATATTTTTTTTTTTTGCTTTAGCTTGGGATTGATTTTGAGGTGAGTTTGTTTCTATTTTTATATAGTTTTTACTTTGAAATAACTTTAATTAAAATGGTGATAGAGTGACTCATCTAACATGCAAATAACACCATCAGAATAGGTACTAGGGTTTGGAAAATCCGAGTTTTTCCGGCAGCCAAATTGCCGAGTCAGCTGGGTCAAAAAAAGAGGGCCAAAGGTCTGACACCAACACGTCGCTTGGCGGTGAGCGAGAGTTCATTATTAAAAGTTTTTAAAAGCAGATAAGTGCACAGACTGATAGAGATACTCGTATCCCAGTTTGGCAAACACAGAGTCACAAACACACTAAAAAAATGCATAAATAAAATCTAGGAAATATTTAATAATTGGTTATATTAATTAGTTTATTTTGAGCTATAATAACAACTAAATAGATTTATTAAAAGTTTATTAAATATACTTATATTAAAACCCAAATATACACATATTGTTTGTGACTTTGCTTAGGCTCTATAAAATATAATTAATAATTTCTCTCTGTGTAGGGAAACGATAACGATGGCCCCTGCTCAAGCGCCACTTCACCTCTAATTGAAACATTAAGTTGCACATCACGTACGCGGTGTCAGACACTAGACGCCACCAGGAGACGGGATTCTGGGAGTGGGTCTGCCTGGAGGAGTATGCTAAAATGTGGCTGCGGTGGCCTTTGGTTTTTACCTTGGTCCTGGAGCAGAGGTCCACAGTCCTTAGCCCCCCAATGAGCGGGCAGACTATCAACCACTCAGCACTTTATTCTTTCCGTGTTGGCATTTTAAAAAGAATTTAAGCTGAGCTGGTTAGGTTTCCCGTTAAGTGTGCAGAGTGATTATGCCGGAAATTTGTTTGTCTATGATCTCGTTTAGTTCTCAGCCCAGACGGGTAGAGGTTGCCTTTTTCCGTGGCAAACAGGGCCTTATAAACATCTGGGCTTGTTCCCTTATCCACTCGGTCATCACTGCCGCGAAATTGGGGGTTAAATAGTCATCCGTTGGGGTTAATCACAGACTCGGCACTCACCCCACTTGGAGCCCGAAATCACCGCGCAGGCAGTGTGTCTTGAAAGGAGATCTATGTTTCCCTCCGTGTCCAGGTTGTGCCAAAAGAGAGCGGTTCCAGCTCGGGGATAGACGATATAACGTGCATTTGGAAAGGCTGTGGCTCCCCCCTGCTCCACGTCGGAGAGCTGTGTACGGTAAATATTTCTAAACTAATTACCAAAAACAAGATCAATCTTAGGCTCACATAAAAAAGCACTGTGGCGATACGATCTCCTCCAATCATATAGTCTTCATTCCTCTTGGAATGGTCGGATGATAAGTTGAAGAAATCAAAGTGTGGAATATAGTGTCCACCTATGCCATAGTTGATTACCTGCAACAACATGCTTTCGAGCTTATTTTATTATAAAACTCCCCAATAGCACACCTGAAAAGACTCGGAATCCTGCAGATCAAAGCCAGTCATGTCGCCAATCCGCCTATTAATTCGTCGACCCAGTTCACTCATCTCCTTATCTATCCATTGGAACTTGGCAGTTCGGTAATGTGTCTGAGAGTTGGTCTTTTTCATGGTGGTCGTTGTCTTTACTTGCATTATCTGTGGCGCAATGCGAATAATCGAGGTAATTTCGCGCGGGCTGAGTACCTCGTGGTAGAGCAACACCTGTGGATGCAGTCCCACCTGCTCCACCTTGAGCGGGGCCAGGCGGAGGAATGATGTGGTGTTAAAGTTGTAGAAACAGTGGAGTCCGGTGGGATTCTTGAGGGTGGCATTGCAGGCAATTGCCATTTCTTTCAGTGATAAATATGATTTCTTTTTTTCCTTCAATGTAGCATTCAAAGGTGATCCCATGAGTTCTTCGATTTCGCGACATTTTCGCACTAGGTCAGCATCGTGGGGTCTGAGTTTAAGGCAACTTTCCATCAAGACCAAGGCATTCGGGAAGCTTTCTATAAAAATATAATTTACTATATAATCAGCATCACCGAAAAACTAAAACAATTTACGATTCCGCTCGTGGGCCAGGGCAAGGAGCTTAAGCAACTCGTCTGCCTTGACAGAAATCTCGGCGGGAAGAAATGACTCCTGCGAGTGAATAGCCACCTCTTGTAGCCACTGAATAGCTGAAGCGGGTCTAGATGTGTTTAAAAGATAATTACCCACAGCAAAGATATCAGTGGCACTCATGCTGGCACTGTAGGAACGAAATATATAGTATATCTTATTGAATATAATCTTCCACTCACTTGTGCTGCCTGCCTTGAAGCTTACCACGAATGATATCTGTAATATTAAGTTCATAGTTGCCCTGAATGCGAACTAATCCCTCACAGGCATCATGCAGGTCCTCTTTACAGGGAAGCCTGCTCCGCCAAAAATTCAAGTTTCTTATTTGGGAAGCGCCCACTGGCTGCACCATGTACTGGAGCCAGCCAACCCAATCCTGATGCAGTCTCCTGACGAGAGAAAAGCCATTCAGAGGATTGGATAGATAGCCTATGGCATCCAGTTGGGCCTTTTTATTTTCTCTTCTCATTTTTTGTATGTTTCTGAAAATTGAAAATTACTAAACAAAATCTTACTTCGGCCAGGAGCACCCAAGAAACCTGCGTATAATCTGTAGCTTGTGATCCATGGCTTTGGCATATTCCTCAAGGTTGTCAATTAGTATTTTTTCTAGTTTCACAAGTGGCACCATTGTCACCACCGAAAAAGAATTGGTCGATTTCTGCTCTTCCCCCTGAATCAAAGTGAGGAGGTGCAGCGAAACCAGGAAGAAACCTGGCAGAAGGATAGACTTGAGATTCATTGGGTGTTTCCTTACAAATCTTGAATCTGGCCAGTCTAATTAGTCAAAAAATATAAATGCTGGCCTGCTAAGAGTCTTTTTGTTTTTATTTTGTTGGGTTTCCTGTTAAGAGTGCAGAGTGATTATGCCGGAAATTTGTTTGTCTATGATCTCGTTTGGTCCTCAACCCAGACGGGGAGAGGTTGTATTTTTGCGTGGCAAACAGGGCCTGATAAATATCTGGCTTCGTTCCCTTATCCACTCGGTCATCACTGCAGCAAAATTGGGGGTTAAATAGTCATCCGTTGGGGTTAATCACAGACTCTGCACTCACCCCACTTGGAGCCCGAAATCACCGCGCAGGCAGTGTGTCTTGAAAGGAGATCTCCGTTTCCCTCCGTGTCCAGGTTGTGCCAAAAGAGAGCGGTTCCAGCTCGGGGATAGACGATATAACGTGCAGTTGGAAAGGCTGTGGCACCACCCTGCTCCACGTCGGAGAGCTGTGGAGAGTTAATATTTTTCAGCTTTTAATTACCATAAAGAAGGTCAATCTTAGAGCTCACATAAAAAAGCACTGTGGCGATGCGATCCCCTCCAGTCCTGTAGTCATTCTTCCTCTTGGAATGGTCAGTTGAGAAATTAAAGAAATCATAGTGTGGACCATAGTGTCCACCGATGGCATAGTTGATTACCTTTAAATACAGGCTCTCCAGATATTTTTAATAAAACTCACCGATAGCTTACCTGATAAGACTCGGAACTCTGGAGATCAAAACCAGTCATGTCGCCTATTCGCCTTTTAATTCGTCGACCCAGTTTAGTCATCTCCTTAACTATCCAATGGTACTTGGCAGTTCGGTAATGTGTCTTGGAATTAGTCTTTACCTTGTTGGTCGTTTTCGCTACTTTCATTCTCTGTGTGGCAATTCGAATTATCGAGGTAATTTCGCGCGGGCTGAGCACCTCGTGGTAGAGCAACACCTGTGGATGCAGTCCCACCTGCTCCACCTTGAGCGGGGCAAGTCGGAGAAATGAAGTGGTGTTAAAGTTGTAGAAACAGTGGAGTCCGGCGGGATTCTTAAGGGTGACATTGCAGGCAATTGCCATTTCTTTCAGTGATAAATATGATTTCTTTTCATCCTTCAATGTAGCATTCAAAGGTGTTCCCATGAGTTCTTCGATTTCGCGACATTTTCGCACTAGGTCAGCATCGTGGGGTCTGAGTTTAAGGCAACTTTCCATCAAGGCCAGGGCATTCGGGAAGCTTTCTACAAAAACAGGGCTTACTATATAATCAGCATCAGCGAAAAACTAAAACAATTTACGATTCCCCTTGTGGGCCAGGGCAAGGAGCTTAAGAAACTCGACTTCCTTGACAGAAATCTCGGCGGGAAGAAATGACTCCTGCGAGTGAATAACCACCTCTTGTAGCCACTGAATAGCTGAAGCGGGTCTAGATGTGTTTAAAAGATAATTACCCACAGCAAAGATATCAATGGCACTCATGCTGGCACTGTAGGAACGATAGTAGATATACCATAGTATATATTATTGAATATAATCTCCCACTCACTTGTGCTGCCTGCCTTGAAGCTTACCACGAATTATATCTGTAATATTAAGTTCATAGTTGCCCTGAATACGAACTAGTCCCTCACAGGCATCATGCAGGTCCTCTTTACAGGGAAGCCTGCTCCGCAAGTTATCCAAGTTTCTTATTTTGGAAGCGCCCACCGGCTGCTCCATGTACTGGCGCCAGCCAGCCCAATCCTGATGCAGTCTCCTGACGAGAGAAAAGCCATTCAGAGGATTGGATAGATAGCCTATGGCATCCAGTTGGGCCTTCTTATTTTCTGTTCTCATTTTTTGTATGTTTCTGAAAATTGAATATTACTAAACAAAATCTTACTTCGGCCAGGAGCACCAAAGAAACCTGCGTATATTCTGTAGCTTGTGATCCATGGCTTTGGCATATTCCTCAAGGTTGTCAATCAGTTTCTCTTCTAGGTTCACAAGTGGTACCATTGTCACAACCGACAAAGAGTGGGTAGATTTCTGCTCTTCCCCTTGAATCAGAGCGAGGAAGACCAGGAAGAAACCTGGCAGTAGGATCCATTGGATATTCATTGCGTGTTTCCTTACTAATCTTGAATCTGGCAAGTCTAATTAGTCAAAAAATTTAAATGCTGGCTTGCTTAGAGCCTTTTTGTTTTGATTTGCTGTACCTTTAATATGGTTTCATAGAGGGCCTTCTCTTTTTCAATTTTTCCCAACATAACTTTGTTATCTCCCAGAAATACCTATTCTAAAAATGTAACCAAAAGCTTGGGAATCAGAACTCTGATATTGTGGAATGTGGCAGGTATTTCCCTCAAATAAATATGATGAATGGTTGGGAAAAAGTCAAGCTAGGTGATGCTTGACATTGACTTCTGATTGTTCTTATCGCCACTTTAATTGACAGTTTGATCGATTTTAGTTTGACTTTATTGAGTTTCATTGTGGGCGTTAAGTATCACTTGGAAAAAACCTTTTTTAATTGAGAATCACATTTACTTTCTTTTGAGGCAAGGTCGTCTGAAGAGCTGTTCTCGCTCACGGATCCATTTATTGCAAACTATTTAAGATAAAATTTACATTAACTTGTATGAGAGAAAAGTAATAATGCTTTACTTACCCCATTTGGAACCCACTATAACGGGGCAGGCGGCATGGAGGGTTTTGATATTGGGCTCACCATCGTCCTTGAGATTGTACCAAATTATGGCAGATCCGCGTTGGGGAAAGACGGCCTTTTGTATGTTTGGAAAGACAGTGGCACCGCCCTGCTCCACATCTGTTAGCTGGAAAGGAAATAAATGTTTTGGAATATCAATAACTATAGAATGTAACTTTCCTGATATTTTACTTACATAGAAGAGCACCGTGGCAATGCGATCGCCACTAATAGCAGTTTTATTTGCGGCTGCCTTTTAAAGAAAAAGAAACTTTTATTAATACTTTCATTAATAATAGTTGTGTTTTTTCTCACAGTTTGATTGAAGAAGTCGTAGTGATTGGCATAATGCCCACCCAGTCCATAGTTCATCAGCTGCAGCATTTCGGAGCCATAGAGCTGGAACCCAGTCATATCGGTTATACGAGCATTCAACCGAAGGGTTAGAGGACTAAAAGAGTCTGGGAACCAGGCCACCTTGGAAGTCCTGGTCCTCACAACCTCATTGCGCCCGGAAGCTGCTTGGAAGACGGTAGCCCTCTTTAGTCCCGGAGTGGCCATGTCCTGCATCTCTTCGATCTCCTTGGCGGAGAGCACATCGTGGTAGAGCACCATGTAGGGATCCAGACCCACCAGTTCCATTTTGAGGGGAGCCAGGATGAGAAAGGGTGAGGTGGTGGTGTTGTAGAGACAGTGAAGTCGGGCATCTGCGGATTGTTTAAACTGTCCTCGGCAGCCTATTTGGTAGGTATTTGGTGTGCCGGTTCTTACTGTCTAAAATATAAAATAATTTAATATTATAAAAGATCGAATGATACATTTATATTTCTATATAAAAACCCCAACTATTATTTTCCGTGTAGCTTTTCTTGTAGTTAAATTTAGCCCTATCTGAATGACTGGTGACCTTATCAGCCAGCCAGGTGAGTGGCAACCTACCGTTGGTTTCTCCGGCGCTACATTGGCTCCCGTCCTTATCAGCGTTTCTATTTCCGATTTCTTCAGCAATAGTTTAATATCATGCGGCTTATCAGCCAGTGCAATGTTTATAACTTTAAGAGCATCCGCGTTCTGTTCTGTTGAGATTTTACGATTACAATTGGAACTTGGCAGACAAGTTAATACAACTTACTCAGTTTCAACAGTGTCTCGGCATAGACACTTCGCACTTCGGTCTTGGATAGCTCCATGGGAGCAGCTAGGGTATACTTCTCCATGGTGATGATGGCTTGGTAGAGCCAGCCAGCAGCTTCTACATACTTGCCTTGATCAAAAAGGATCTGTCCCAAGGCATAGGTGTCCAGCATGGTTAGGCTTACACTGGAAAATATAAAAACGAATAGATAACAAAGCTCTCACACTTTTTAAATATTTATCTTACTTGTATTGTTTTCCATTTAGGTTTCCATTGGCTATGTCAGCTATCTTCAAGCCGTAAGTGCTCTGAATGCGATCCAAGGCGGTCACAGCCTCCTCCACATCAGTGCTGGTGGGCATGTGTTCCCTTAGCTCTTGAATCTTGTCCACCTGCTTGAGACCCACTGGATCCTCCATATATAGCTGCCACACGGTCCAGTCACTATTCATTCGTCGTATAAGGGAAAATGAGTTCAGGGGATTGGAAAGATACTCCTCCGTGGAGCTGCGGGCCTTGAAATTCTCCTGCAACATGCTGGCTATGCTCCTAAAGGGAAAAATATATAATTAGTAATTAATGGAATAACCAACATTTCAACAATTATCTCACCTGCGCACTATCTTTAGTTTGCTCTCCATTTCGTCGGCATATTCCAGGAGATTGTCAATTAATTGGGCCTCCACCTCGAGCAGCTTCACCATTCCCGCCACCGAGGTGGAGTGACTCTCCTCGGCGAGCACGGAGCAGGAGTAGGTAAGCAGCATCAAGGGTAGCAGCCACTGGGAGAAGCGCATCTTGGCTGGGTTCTTGTGTCTACTGGGGCTTCTGGTTGGGTCTACGTGCCACCGTCAACTGACGGAGCACTTGCCAATCGAAGTTGGCAGGTTGACTGCGGGCCGAGATAAATATTCGGCTTGTTTCGCTATTATTATTATGATTCTTGGCCCGCTTGCTTTCGGCGCTGATAAGCGGGGCGCATTGATAGCGGCACGCAGCGATTTAATTAAGCCAAGAGCACCGGAACTGAAATAGAGCGCTTGGGGGGCTACGTGCTCCCATAAAGAGCTGCGTCATCGAAAAGAACGTGGTCAGAGAGATCACTGACCACCGCCAAGAATCGTAAGCTAATGTGGGTAATGGTCACCTGGGGGAACCACCAACGCGAGAATGCTTCGTCAGAGTTTAGCTTTGCTGTTCTTGAGTATATTTTATGCTTTTATTAACAGTTTTTGACAGATATAGCCATAAGAAAAGATACCAAGAGATAAGTAAAGGCCTTGAAAAAGAGACTTTTATAATTATAGCTTACAGATAATGAGCATAAGTCATGTCTTGTCATTATTTCACCTTAACTTGTATTAATTTATTTTAATTATTATTCAAAAATAGATGCTAATTTTTCTACTATAAATTTAGAGACATTTATCAATACATAAAATGGGTTGTTCTAGCTTTATCCATCGTGGCAGTCCTCACCTAGACCCTTATATAATCGTTGCTGGAGAACTCTTTGAACCACTCGTATGTCTCCAGTTTGGTGTGCACCCAGCGCCCAAAGACAAACAGTGAAATGGGCATGTAGCTCTCGTCGCTATTCGACCGTTTCTGGGTCAGTTTGTAATCGAACATGAGGCAGGTGTGGAGCAAGTAGAGCACTGAACAGGCCAAGGCGGAGATTGACTGGCTGCGCATATAGACGAAGAACGGATGCACCGGCTCATAGTTGATATACTTGGTCGAGCTGTGCTCCTGTTCCGGATCGTGACCGAACATATAGAACTGCCGCTCGGCGTCCCACATCGTTCCCAAGGATACCGCCAAGAAGGCGACGGTCGCTGCGCTGGTCTTAATCAATTCTAATGTAATGGTCGGGGTGTGGCCCGTACAGATGTTGATGCTCTGGAAAAGGGTAAGCGCCATAAAGACATAGAATATGACTAGGTAAAAAGAGGCCATCGCCTGCTCCTCCCAACCAAACTGATCCAATTGGATGGCTTGGAAGCCGGTGACGTGAAAGCCCATGCAGAGCATGTTGAGCACCGTCTCCAGAGTGTAGAACACAAAGAGCACTGGACGCAACGATCCGGAACTATATTCTTCAATATCGTCAATATAATCGGTATTGGACTCATGGCGGAGCGCCGTTCGTATATTGAAAAGCGATTTTCTGGATGCCATTTGTAATTTTAAGGGTGTTTATAAACGGAATATAACTAAATACTATTGAATACTAGAGCTAGAGCTGACAAGGAACTGAAAGACTAAATAGCTTTCAAATTTGCTACAAAATAATATAAACTTATTCTTAATATCATGTAAGATCTTTAAAATATTTACAAATAATAACTATATTTATTTCCAACCTCTTTATTTCAACCTTAAAGTGCAAAAAATCCAAAAATTAAATATTGTTAATAACAATTGCTTTATCCGCATTGCTGCACAATTGCTGGCGCAAGGCTATCTGCTTCAGCCATGAGTGAATCCTGTGAATCCTGCGAAAAGGGTTTTTGCGGAAAACCTAAATACCGCTTTGTTCGACGAAGCCCACTTGTTGTGTAGCTTATATAGCCAAGGTAGAAAGGCGGAAGAGCTTTAAATTTTACACTTTTATGGAGCATCCTGTGGCCGAGGGGGGTGCTGGGTCGGTCACACTCGCATGTCCTGCCGTTGATATCGGCTTAACTTTGCCATAAAACTGTCAGCGTCATGCCTATGCGGGGTCGGGTCTCGGGTTTGGGTTTGTTGGACAAATGAAATAAATTTTACAGCCAAATGGACATAGGGCAGCCGAACAATGAGACCATATGCAGGCGGGCAGGCAGGCAGGACCGGGAGATTTGTGGAAGGCAAATCTAATGCGGACAACAAAAGCACCTGTGACCTGGAAAATGTCCAGCCAGGACAGCCAGTTCAGGTTCCTGACCGAATGCGAATACGAATCCGTGACCGGTAGGGTTTAGCTTTACTGTCTCCAATGTCAACAGCTGCTGGCCCTGGCTCCCCCTTGAAGCTGCCCTCGGACATGGAGGCACTTTAAGCCAGACAAAGTAAATATTTGCTCTAAGCATTTGAGGAGGTCCTGGAGAGAAATCAAAGGAAGGCACGGGGATGTTCATCAATTAAGTGTCATCAATCATCGGCGCATGGATCAAAATCAGCGACTCCGGCGACAGGCAAACATGTCACGGTACAAAATATCGTTTAACCTAAAATGTCAGGACCACAAAATCTATTTACTTTCAGACATTGATAGACATTAGCTCCTCGCACGTGAAGTTGCTTCCTGAATACCTCAGATTTGCCAGAGTTAAAGTTATATTAATACCCATTGATCGATCACATCTCCTAAATATATATAATAATAAACAAATATGTTAGTCTAAGATTTTAAGCTAATGCTTACACCTAGTATATCCCATAAATACCCTGTAGAAAAACTCCCTGTTCCATCCCTCATCGGACTCAACTAATCACAACACCTAAACACACAGAACTTAATGCATTTTCGGGGGTGTGATGGAGGCACCTTCCGAGCTGGATATCAATTTCAATTGGTGTCTCCGTCCGCCTGACCCAATGAAATCCGTTGCGGGCATAACATTTGGAATGCCGAAAAACTTTGAGGAAAGTTTTCGCGATGCTTTATGGGCCGGCCACTAAGCTCAAATCAAGCGGAAATTCAAACACTTGGATTTGGAATTCGGGACTCGGAACGACTTGTGAAACAATGGCCCATTAATGGCGCCCAACGGTCGGTCGGTCGGTTGGTCGAGGATGATGCTACCACCGCCGCCCGCCAATCTTTTGCCATTCGAAATCAATGTCGAGCGGTTGCAGTTATGATTATTGCAGTTGTCAAAAGTTTTCCCTCCAAGTGGTTGATGGTAACGGGGGAAGCCCCGGCATAATGGGCTGGGCAAACAGAGGAGGAGCAGGAGAAGAAGTAGCAGAAGGAGAAGGAGGTGGACCTCAGTAAAGGTTTATGCAAATTCCGAGGCTTTTATACACTGGCAAACAGACAGAGAACGTGGAGGTCCAAGGCGATGGCTCGCTAAAAAATGCTTATGACTTGTGTAAACAATTTCGCCACAGTCCTTAGATATCCTCAGTGATATCCTGCTCCAGCTGCCCGGCTCCTTTTACGTGTAGGTATGCCCCGACCCCATTCAAAACTCGGCTCCTGCTCCAGTTAGAAGAGTATTCCGGAGTATCTCCCAGATCTTGTGTGTGTGTAAAAATATTTTATGGACTTTGGCATTTGCTGCGGAAAAGTTACTTTGCTCCGATAAGCGAGCGTGTGTGTGTGACTTCCGTTTGTCCTTGCATGTCCTTCTTCTTCCATATAGACACACACATGTGCTCACACATTTTTATGCATTTTCTTAGCGGCCATTTTTATGCCCGCACACGTTTTCCATTAGACATCAACAGGACTGTCATTTCCCTATTTCCCTTCACCACCCACCCACCAACCAGCTCATTTCCTTGTTTGAGCTCTCAGCATGGGCGAGTGAGTGTCCTGGGGTTTGGCCAGGATAACTCGAGACCTGTCACTTGCGCCTCTAATTGAAACTGGGTCAATTGCCGGGGCAGCAGCACATTAATCAAATTCGGAGGCAAGGACTCGTTTTGCATTCGTCATTAAAGCAATTATCATGTTGGGACAATTACTCTTTGTTAGCGAGTTTGATTGAGAAACTGCTGGGAGTTCCGAGGAAATTTCAAACTGCGAATCCGCCAAATGGGAGCTGTGCCAAGGTGGCATTAATCTTCATAAGCGTGACAAGTTCATTAGAATAGCAAACACGGCATTGATTCCTCCGTTCTTAGTGTGAAAATTGCTACCCCTTGATGGGCTGCTAATTGAAAATGTAACAGGGATCTTAAGCTTATCGGTTGCCATTTATCAAAAGGAAGAGAGTATAGAGGACATAGATTTAAGGGAGCTTAAGTTGACTCTGTATAATATATGTCAGAAAAATAGATATAGTTGAAATATTTTAATACAAATTAAAAAAAAAAGTATGATGAAACCATAAATAATCCTAAATTAAGTATATCCACATCCTCAAATGAGTTGCTAATCATTTTATTACCCCTCAACTTCAAAGTAAAGTTATTTCATATAATTTGTTTTTCTACCAATTACCCTGCCTTAATTTTTCTTTACAAATGTTGTTTAACCAAAAAGATTGTGTTAAAAGTGATCCCCTATCTCCCTGTATCTCCCACTAGTCCATCCTCGCTTTCCACCGGGTTTCGCATAATTCCGCGGATATAATTTTTTAGCGAGGCGCTGGAGCACAACGCGTATAATGCGCATAATTTCTATGCCACGTTGGTCACCCGAAAAGTAAATGTAGACACAGCAAAGTGCGGACGGAATGGAGGCGACACAGCCACCGAGGTCGACCTTTGTGCCAGGACCTCCGCCAACAGCAATAGCAACCACTAACACAACAACAGCCTCGGCTTTTGGCAATGGGTTTTCGAAGGGCAGGAGAAATGGGTAACGGGAAACAGGACACAGGGGGGAATGGGGAACTGGGAGCCTGTGCCCATGAACAAAAGAGGTACATGCGAAAAATAAAACCTATTACCGGAATCATAATTATCTTTTATGGCCGCGTCTGTCATGACGACATTATGGCGTGGTCTGCTCCTGTTTCCCATCCTTTTTCTGCCGTCCGTTATATACCTCTCTTTTTCTGCACTTGGAGAAATACTGGACACTATGGGGAATGAGGCTTAAGATATGGATAAGCCATAAAATTTAAATACATAATTTGCTAAAGCCCAAAACTAAGGTACAAAATCGTACACCTTACAACAGAAATTTCTCTTTTGGCCATCTTTTAATGATATTTTAAGTCAGTTGATATAAAATTCCTAAATATATTATATTATTTTCTTAGCTTATCTTCCTCCTGGATGATTTTATATATCTACAATGACATCATTCCATTTTTCTCCATGTGATGTACTATATCCTTTGCTCTGTTCCTCTCCCCTCCCCTCACGTAGCAATAAAAAACCGCGAAATGCGGCCAAGTAGCAGCAGAAAAAAGTAACATAAATTACAGGCAAACCCCAAAGACCACGGTGGGGTTAAGGGCGGGGAGGGTGTGGTGTGCGTGTTCAGGGGAACCCCACAAATTATGTAGTCGGAATAATATTTTCATTACAGCCAGGAAAACAGTTTCGATTCACCACGTCCTCCCGTTCCCTCGCAGACATCTGTCGCCACGTTGCCTCTTGGCCGGCTAAAAACAGGTGTTTCCTAATTTATTGGCCGCGCCTGCAGACAGTCCCCCGCCCCCATTATTTAGCGCCCCTGGAAATTACTTGTTCCGCCTGCGAAATGATTATTAAAAGTGCAGGTTGGGGGTTGTTCATTGTTTTTGCTTTGCAAAAAACAACATTGTCTGCGGCTGGCAGACAAATCAAAGTGCCAACATTGCTTGTCATGTGTTTTTTAATTTCTAATATTTCACGCGTCACAACTTAATACTCCCCTCTGGATTTTCCACCCCCCCTCCACCCCTTTGCAATGCTAATGCCAGGCGACAGAGGGCGCAGCTATTGTTGTGCACTTTGCCTGCAAATTATGCGAGACACGTCGCCCCAGCTGCGTTTGTTCGAACGGTGGAAAAGGCCAGGACACTCTGGTCTGGAGGTGTGCCTGAGGTGTATTTCATCTGAAAGAAAGCAGCTAGCCACGGCCTCATCCCCAAAGACTGGTCTACGTGTGATAATCCAAGGACTGCTAAAGTTTTTCTTAACTAAAGAGGAAAGAAATTTCAAGAATTCGAGGAGTGAGCCTGATGATACCTCTGAAAATTTAAAATCTATAAAATCTACAAATATTATAAAAAATTAGAGGAGACCGGTATGTCTGCAAAGGTTTTGTGGAGCTAAGAACAAAAATTCGGAGTTTTTAGATAGAATTTTCAAGCTAGTCCACTCTTAAAGAAATCTTTAAGCATTTTAAATAATTCCAAAAAATATTTCCAATAGCCTTAATCACCCCTAGTACCCTGTAATAAAACTCTGGAAAGAGAAGCCTGTTTTGTGGTGGCGACTGCTCGATTCGCCCAGGGCCAAGTGTGTGGCATTCCCCTTGTTAAAAAGCGCAAAATGCACGTGCTGCCTTTGTGCGATGCCAGTTGTTGTTGTAATTGCTAGCCGCCTGTTGACAGGATACTTCAACTATTGTTCGCAGGACCCCAAAGCCTCCAACTCCTGTTTAA